GTGTTTGTAGGCCTACAGTATGTACACAATTAACAACCTTGATTGAATTGTTGTGATGTGTTTCGGACATTATTTTTCCAAGAAATGGTTAAGTGACAAAATCTTTTTTCTTTGTCCACTGGGAAAACAATAACTTATGTAAGTATAGGTTTCTAAACATCCAGTCAACGAGAGATACATCCATATTAAAGATATAATATAAGCTACAAGGATCTTAAGTTTAACTATCGTAATTTGGACCATGGCTTATTAAAATTAGGCCTATTGTACCGGAGAAAGCTACCCGGACTCGGTGGTGTATGACTTATATTTGCTTTTCGTGCTAAATACTCTTTAATGCTTAGCTCCGGTATGTATGCATTCAGATTAATCCCTGTCTCTTATACACATCTAGATGTGTATAAGAGACGGGTACGGAACGACGACTAGTCATAGATTGTGACCGATTCTTATGGTCCTTTTTATAATCACAAGTAGGCCTATAAACCAGTAATTAAATGAATATAAAAATTAAATAGTAACAAGAGTAGGTCTTCTATTAAGCCAGTGACACTGCAAATTGAGTCAAAAACATGTAGACATAAAGAATGGAATTTTTATCTTCAACAATCCTAACTAAATAACCGGTTATATAGGGTCTAGATATTATCTACTGGCATATAGGCCTACGCCGGCACTTATAAAAAAAAACAATATTTAAAAAAATGTATAGACCTAGGCCTATACGAATGTACAAATATAATATCTCACAGGAATACATGTTTATTGGTGTACAAATAGCGCTATAAAAGCATATTAATATGGCTCCATTAATTTACATTGGTTATCAAATTTCATAACTATACGATAAATATCAATGTACATTAGTAGCTTTCAGAGGTCAACAAGTAGCCTAGGTCAAGTTAGATTAAAAACGTGAATGCACATGCGCATGAACGATTTCGATTCGCGAGAATGAATTCGCCTAGTGGAAAACCGGCTTAAAGCCGGTTTTCCACTAGGCGAATTTATTCGTGCGAATCGAAGGCGTCGGTTCTCTTCCTGAGCTCTGATTGTTTGCGCACATTTTTCGCTTAACAAAAAGTAGAAACAGTTCGAACTACCAATGTCGCTGAAGCGAAAACTCCTATAGAAATGTGAATGAGCATGCACGACGCTTTCGATTCGCGCGAATAAATTCGCCTAGTGGAAAACCGGCTTTAGAGAATAAGTGATTTATAGCCCCTCTAAATTTATTTTTAAATCGATCTCCCTCTACTTGTCAAAAATATCATTAAATTCGTACTTAAGAAGCATAAAACGTACATAAAAACGTAGGCCTACACTCCGCTAGTACACTTGTATTTGTTGGACAAGCGCGCAGGCCTATTCCTGGCTCTGTTGATTGGTCAGTTAAGCCTGTTTTCACTTGCGAATATTTTATTCACGCGAGTTCATCGAAATCGGTAGTTCGAACTTTCTACTTTTTGCGAAGCGAAAAAGTGCGCAACCAATCAGAGCTCAGGAACCGAACCGACGCCTTCTATTCGCGCGAATAAATTCGCCTAGTGGAAAACAGGTATAAGTTTGGCTGACACTCTGGAATTATCTGCCCTTCAGAGTAGGTTTCTATTATGGTCGTGCGCCATAATTTTACAGTTTGCTCGGTTACAACTATTCAACGGTGGTAACTTCCGAATCGCTTTAACGCACTGGCATTCAAGCTCAGACTAGTTTTTGTCGATGGATTATAATGTATATTTGTGCTCAGATTAATCCCACTCTAATTAGAATGTAAGACATCGTAATTAGCTTTCCCTGATGATCCGTCTGTACAACTTCTGCACTATTTGCATCGTATTTAGAATCAGAAGCTGTGTTCTGATAGATAGAAAATTACATAATAATAAAAGAAAATGATACACGGTACCTATATTTTATTTACTCGTTGAATGAAATGAATTAGGGTAAACAGGTACGATTTTGCTATCAGTCAGAGTCATGGGAAATGTCTATATTCGCACAAATATCATCCAACTATCATAAATCATGCATTATTTATAGCCAAAATTGAATATTCATAATCACCATCTCGTATACTGTACCTCTTCCGGCTGTCATCGTTTCAATCATTCAACGACCAATTAATTGAAGCTTATTTAAAGACAACGTGGAAATGGATCTGTATCACCATTCAAGAATACGTCATAGACATTCCTAGAGACATCTCCTGGAACATAGGCCTAATTAATGAACAGAATTTATATAGAAATACTTGCACAGAGGTCTATTTAGGCCTCTAGGTTTTCCAAAATTATCCTATGGGCTCGATCTAGGCCTAGTACCGTATTTAAAGAAACTCCTACATAAATATAGGCCTTACAGCGGCCCAAAAATAAAACAAATATAATTGCTCAATTAAAAGAGCCACGTAAACTAATTTTAAAAAAATGTGTAAATGTTGTTAGTGTTGGAATTGTAAATTTGTATCCCCAAACTATTAGGCCTAGGCCTATATAATAATAAAATTGACTGATATTTTGTTGTTTTCAGTAGAAAGCTAGGCTTAATAACTTATTTAAATGCCACTATACCGTAGCAAGTCTCGGAATATGCAAATTAATCAATTCAAGTTTCAATTTGTAGGTTTATAATTGATCTTAACGACCATATCTTTCCTCTTAGTTTTCTATAACGGAAGATCTATAGAATTCTACTATCTTGTAAACCGCTATAGCGATGTACCGGTACCCATCCCGTCGCTTTCGATTACTTAATAAACGTGTAAAAACAGCGCAATTCAATCTAATAACACTGGTCAATGTTTATAACTTCGAGGTGAGTAATACAGTCCACTTTGTTCTAAAACCAGAAATTACTGTAATAGACATGCAAAACAGAAGTGTTCATTATTCTAGGACACGGTTCACCGGAGGTGGTATTAGTATGTACCAACACGCACTATTTTGTTGTGAAATTACTCACTCTACCCGTTCGAGGGGTCACAATTCGGCTACGATTGCCATTGGTTTCAAATCTTGCAATAAATAAATGTTCCCGGGAGAAGTTGAATATTGCAACGCAGAAGCTACCTTATAATGAGGCTTTAAGATTAATTTTGAATTGAGTGGGAGTTTTTGAAAATTCAGCTTTTACGGAGCATCGATCTATCATATCATATCTGTATCATATCTATACATATTAATGCGTACGCGGCGTTGCGTTTCGTTTAATTTAAATGAGAAACGTAGTTACGAATGGTATAATATTATGTGGCCGGGATATGACACCCTGAGGCGGGCTCGTTGCCATGATGCGCTATAGGCCAATGAAACTACAAATTACACTTATTACATCTTGTCTTTTGTTGCTAAATAAAAATATTAGTTCCATAAATATGATTTTAGTTTTCTTTGAAAATTGTCACCGATTGGCAATAATGTCTTGAATCCACGAACATTTATGAGTCAATTACCGGAGTTTTGCTACAGGAACATAAAGCGGACATTTCGTTGACAATTATGGTCCACAGAATAATCGTTACCGTATTTTGATTAAACTATGAATCATTTTCACTAATCCACAATTACACCAACACTGTGTCATTAGGTCAATTCAATTTGTTTGAAATGGTTTGGTCATTAAACACTTGTGTTTCAATTATATAGGCCTACTTTATTATTGTCTGATCGCTTCAGATATGCCGAATTATTTTCCAACGTAATCGTTGCGTGGCAACGATTTAAGAATACCCAGCGCACATCGGCGTTTAGTGTACACGTACGAAACGCGTTATCAGCAGTTATTTTAATTTACGGGTATTTAATCATGAACATGAAAGTTCACCTTTGCCCTCCATCTTTCCCCACTTTCGTGAAATATTTCTATATAGCACGATCACGTCAAATACCACGAGACAAGACCAGGTGGTATAGTACCTTCATTAGACACAACTTCAACTATAATAGAACCTTGTTATTTTTTCTCTTCTCCCACAAAAGCTATTATTTATATAAACAAGCCAAAGGGAACCTTTAAAGCTGATTGCATCTTGTCTGAATGATGGTAGGCCTAAATCACTTGTGCCAACTTGAAAACATTGATGCATACAATGTTCTCACGATCACTCCTATCCGATGCAAGTTAATGAGAAATCCAGTCAAGGCCGCATCAAATTTTATCGTATGTCTACATGGTCTACAGGAGAGTTATAGCGGATAGTTATAGCGCTTATACACTGATATATAAATGTTGAAGATTAAATTATTTCTATTGATCTCATGATGATGTTTCAATAAAAGACGAAAAAACAGAAATTACATAGGCGGGGGCCTGCCTGGGCTAGGCCTGCTTTGAATTGGTTGGGCAGTAGGCCATCCCAACTATCGACAAATAAAAGGCAAAATATGTTTAACATCCAATGGTTTCATCTTCACTTGGTAGTACATTCCAAAAAAGCGAAATAAAACACTCTAATTTTTTTTCCACCTACCCTAAGCCTACCTATTAACATTCAGGAGATTTTCGGCAGCATTTAACCCGAGCCTCCAAATACTGAATTTCGATGTATGACATATCAAACCAATTGAATGCTGACTTGTGAAGAGGAAAACAGAAAAAAAATCTGCAGTCTAGCCCCGAGTCTAGCTTATTGTGTCTACCCACCCCCCCCCCTGGAGGGGGGTAGACGCTTTGTTATCGTCTGGCAATTGACCTTATAAGAGTAACATCCGGTGGATTAATGATAGGATGGGTCATGAGCTAAAGATAAAAATGAAAAAGTAAGTTTACGAAATACTGTACGATGCCATGCTAAGTAAAACCTGTCAAGTTATTAAGTGAATTGCTAACACAGAAAGCTGCTAAGTCACAACAATCTGCTATATACTTGTACAGTTAGTCAATTGAATTGCCAACGCAAAAAGCATGGATGACTTAAAAGTAGCCTAAAAAACCCCCAAAAAACATGCCAAGCAGTAGGCCTAGACAACACGCTCCCGCTGGGAGCCTATTTTATATACATTGTTATTAGGAAGGATAAATGAGCTAAGAACTTGCGGCGATCTGTGATATAGATTTACATCCTTGTGTTCTCTTCTGATTCATATCCTGTAAATGAAGAGAGAGACACCATAACTCATCATTTCTTTCAAAAATCTTGCTGTCAAACATTTTTTAACACATGTGCAATGACGCTTCAACGATGATCATATAATGATAATAAATGTTATGAATATGACGATGTTAATGTGATGACGACAATAATGATGATGCTATAATATTATGATAATAATAATAATAATAATAATAATAATAATAATAATAGTGATAATGATGATAACACAAATTGGTGATAATGATTAACTTAGTGCTTGCTCATAAATAGATAAGTTAGGCTGTGAAAGTTAAGTCGATCTCTGTGAACAGATTACAGAAGAAACAAAAAGCTCCGTCTTAACTCACAAGTACAACTATAGTATTAATTGCTCCGACCAAGAACTAAGGGCCTATGCCGGAGGAAGGATTCGGAGGCTACATAAGAATAGGCATGAGATAGAAGAGTCGACATATGTAAATAGAAAATGAAAAATATGGATATACGAGATAATGTACATAATATAGACTTACTACGACATGGTTTTACATTTCTATAAACCACGCATAAATCAATTTGATCGAATTAAAACGAAGTGAACGGCATGACCTATTAAACAACATAATGCACAATACACAAATTACACTTAACATGTACGTGGGAGTATGCGCGTTTGTTATGTAGAACAAACGGTTTTATAATAAAATGTGTTGAATGCTAATTAAAGATGCGTGCTTTCGAATCTCATGGTTCAGGGCTAAAATCCTGCAAAGAGAGCTTTTTTTTACAAGTCATCTCATCGTTTATAGACCATAGAGTGGCGACTTACCCGTTGGAATTTTTAAAAATAAGAAATCTATATAGGCCTAGGCATTTCTAAAGTCCAACCAGTCCGATGCATGTCCATGAGAATTGTGGCTATTCAGCAAGCAAGTTTTGCAAGGAAGAACTTTGGGGAGCCCATTTAAGAATTGAAAATTATAATTGGACTTAGCGCGTTTTCGGGCAGGTAAAAGGATATTATTTCCGGTTTGTGTCCTCGTAAATATATCGTCCTCGTCGTCGACGCGGGCACCGATACGTCAGTTGGGCATCGAACATGCAGGCCTACCATATTACGTCCATCATCCAATTTTATACCAACACGGGAAGGGACATGTCTGGAAGGTTTCAATGGAAAATGTGTGCGACAATACTGGGAAAGACGGGAGAAGACGTAACGAGAACGTTAAACTTTGAACTGAAGCGTATGTCACATATGACAGTACACAACATGTCACAGTACACCAACGATGAAAAGAAGTTCACAACACGGTTTCACGTACGCCCGGTGTTTTAGAAAATCGAAATGAAGTGGCATTTTGACTGATCATCTGACTGTTGTGTCGCTTTATTATTCACATTTGCAGACATTAATTTATTAATAATAAACGTCTAATGCTGAGTATACCATCACATACATTATAAATCGCAGCATACAGACCATAGCTTTATAGGGCGATACCAGTAGAAATATTGTAAATGGCTTAAATTAACACCACTGTTAAAATTATCTCTATCACTTCGGTATGCTGTAATGGGAAACAGGCAGACGAAGGTAATTTCATATTATCGAGTTTACAGTGTACATTCATTATCGTAGTTTGTGGGTAATTTTTACTCTAATGCCTATATTTATTTGATGGTCTTGTGCCTTAGTTGATGCGAGTATACGGGACCCTCACGCATAATATAATTATATGAATGCGTGACTGTCTATGCGTTTGCCCATCTCTCTCCTGTCTGTCTCTAGAGGCGTTATACATCATCGAAGTGGAATAATTATGAACAGGGCTGAATTTCAAACATTTGAGTAATATTAATAGGCCTTAATGCTTTTATCTGTTAGTAGATTATTGTTTCCGCGTAATACCGTTGATTTGCAATTACAAGTATATAATTTTGCAAAACGAGAATATGTGACTGGAAACTAACTAACTAACAAAATCGTCAGCTTCGTGTCTTATTATCTCTCCATATTCAATAGTTATGTTAATACGTTCATCAGTCAATTTTCAGCGGTTTTTGACATAACAGCAAGAAGTGTGATTCTAGTTAGAGGATAGGCCTATTTCTTGTATGGTTACTATCATGGAGGTATTAATAATACCTCCATAATACCTCCATGGTGACTATGTTGACTTTCTCTACCGGATGCGCGTAAGGATACTGAACGATCGCGTCCATTCCGGATGCGCGTTAACATACGCAAGTTGAACGCATGGCGCGTGCGTTTCGGATGGGCGTTAGCGTACGCGAACGCGTTATGACTGAAACATTGTGTTGTGCTTGCTGAGGAGGTAATTCAGTTTGTAAAAATAAAGGGAAAAATGAATGTTTTCCTTCCGTAGTGTCATCATATAATCAGATCAGATTAAACAAAATAAATGTGTAATTATAACTTTCTTTAGTATCTTATTATATCGTATTTTTTGCAAAAAAAATATATCAATAATCCTTGAATCAATGTGTTTAAGATTATGTTCATATTTTTTTATTAAAAATAAAATTTCTTTCTTATCCTCCAGACCAATATGAAGCCTACTCCGCCAGTCTCCACTCCAGTTGAATGCCCAGAAGGTAACTGCGCACAAAGCAGTAGGTTTGCCAAATTAGTTTCTTTTTCAACTCATTCTTGTTCAGAAAATCACTAAATATCATATAGTATCAGTAAAACTTTTTGTTGCTTAAGAACTAGGCCTATGACTTGGCAATTTATTATTTAATTGCAGGAAGAAATAAAACATGTCTTATTGAGAAATTGCATGGTGGCGGGCATAATAAAAATATATTTATATTATTAATATTTCTAGAAATATTTTCAGAAATTTCTTTATTTTAATGGTGGCATGTGCACAAACAGACCAAAGCATTTGTATTTAGAAATCATCTGTAGGTTGATAAGCAGCTATGAGTGTCCTCCAATTGTATTTATGCTTTGAAGCAGGTTCTCTGCATGAAGTCTGTTATTTGTTGTCTTTGGTGTCTTTTCCAAGATCCCCATGTCCTCATGACTCTTTCACTCATGGTTTATAATCCCTTCATTTTTTAATTCCTTTCCAGGCTATAAAATTTTGCTAAGTTGTAGCACAAATTGAAATTCAAGTTGTTGGTATTTTCAGATACCTGAGTATGTGATATTAAAAATGAGAGGGGTCATTCACTGAAATTGGACATTTCAAGCCTAATTTTGAAAGTGAATGTAAAGCAATCTTAGAGTCAAGATAAACATAATTTTGCCTTTGCCTTTTAAAGTTATTTTGCATACATTGTTTAATAGAATTAACTATCAAAATAACGTTAAATAAACAATTTGTTGACCACTTCCAGAACTAATACTTTGGGACATGATTAATAAGACATTAAAGTGTTGATCTATAGTGAAAAAATTTTCAGGAAATTTTTTGAGCTCCCATTTTTTATTTATAGCTCATTTACTCAATACTGGCCTGTGCGACAACTTCACCATTTTGCCACGACGTGCCTCATATACAGGCGCATCATGACAATATATAGGCACATCATGACCATATATAGGTACATCATGACCATATATAGGCACATCATGACCATATATGGGCACATCATGACTATTATATGGGCATAAATAAAATTTGATAGTCTGATTGATATGGAAAGTAGATTTTGTATAAAGCCTGCCATGAAGTGTTGTCCTATCCATATTTACAAAACATCTTGCTTACAAACATCATTTTAAGTGTCTATGAATTAATTTACATTTCTATTGTCAATTTCAGAGCCACTATCTGTAGCAGGGGCCATTGTAATAGGAGCACTGTGCGGTGTTTGTGTTTTTCTCATCTTTTGTTTGATAGTAATGGCTGTTTTACGTAAACGTCAAAGAGGTCAGCAACAGAGGGCAGGCTTTGTGCCAAGAAGACTTGCACGGCTTGTCAGTGTCCGTAAGTACAACATTATTGTTGATAGCTTCATTCTAAATTATTCTTGCTTACAAATAAAGATGTTACACATGTCACGTATAAATCAGAATGAGGATATGTATTGACTGGAAGTGTTACTTTAATACGATAAATATTCTGTGTCTTCATAACTTCTCTACTTATTTTCCTGAAAGCATTTCCCAATGTAAATATTTATGGAGATCTATCATGCGATTCAGAGAAGGCTGATATTAAATAATAAAACTAAAACAAATACTAAAGCCTATTTCAAGATTAGAAATTGATTAAGAATAGATATTAAATGTTATTTATATTTAATTATTTAAAATGTAATAATTATTTTACATAATTAAAAAGCCCAGTGCTAGATGGTGCATAAAAGTAATTATATTACAATTTATAATTTATAAGATTAAAACTATATCAAAGATAGTTAATGAATGAAGTGATTCATTTGGCAATTACTTATTATAAAATAATTATAAAATTTATTCTGATACTGATAACAGTCTTATAAAGTATGACACTTTATTCTGAGAGCTTTGTAGTAGCACCAGTTTTTGAAACCCAAAGACTACGGACAGTCTCATAAAAACCTTTTTTTTTTTAGTAAGGAACCCCAAATACTAATATGAAGATTGGAAAGGCCAATTTTCAAGCTGTAATTAAATAATTTTGGATAATATAATGATGGATTTCAGCTCTGTAGTTACCATTTTAAAACAAAAAATGTACACTGTAGGCTGGATCATGGTTGACAATTAACCCTAGAGTTGAACCTATATACTGCGACTCAGGTTTCAAAATTCCACTGTTCCTTTAACACACAACATTTTTTTGGTCTAAAATGTATTAACAAAGTTTCTAGAATCATGTTAAGCTCAACATCCCTAATTGAGGGTACCCATGACAGTATTGCCTGCTCATTTCCGCATTACAAGCTTCTAGGAATCATGTCAATAACACGATAACGTTAACAGAGGGAATAGAAAATACAAACTTGAATTCAACAGCCATTATCATGCACTTGGGAACTTGTCAAGCGTCAGGTTACTTATAGGCTACATATGATCGTAAGCATAGACATTTAGCCATAGGGCTACTGTATAGTATTTATGGCATTTAGCATTTGAATTTGAAGGATATACTGTTTTTGTCAAGAATACAACCTTGAACGATTCATATTTGAATTATTTATTTTGTATGTATAAGTTATTAGCTTTCAGCTTTCAATTAAAACTTAAAACAAGAAAATGTTTTTCATTTCCCATTAATAAATACGTTTAAGTAATTACTGTACAGTATTTATATTTCGTTGCATGGACTCTTATACTGGCTAGTTATCAATTTGATTTTTGAAGTAAAAAAGCATGTAATGTCTCGACCTGTTTCATTAAAAGTTGGATAACTTATTTGATCTTTTAAAATCAGTATTTAAAATTTAATTTTTATAGGATTTTTTCCCCCTCTAGCATCTTGGAGACAATCAAATTTTGTAATTGATAAACATATTGTCCCTTTAACCCTCTAACTGCGGCCATTGAGGGCGGACCTGTACCCAGGGGGAACGTAGCTTATGGGGAAAATGTGGCCCAGGTGAAGGTGTGGTGCAATGCCTCCCCACCACCCTCCCAAAAGCTTTTAGATATTCAGATATCTATTTAATGTCAGGCTCTGGAGGAAAAAAAAATTTTGATATGTTATAGAACTGATTTTTCTAATACAGAAAAAAGTTGTTTGACAAAAACTGGGGAACGGTGAATGAAATACAGATTTTTAAATATTTGAAAACTGGGGGAAAAGGGGCGTAATCGCCCTTTTTTACATCTTTCCAAAATTAGTTCTACAACATACCAAAAATATTTTTTCCGCTGGAGTCTTACTTTAAGCCCCGTTCAATTCCTGTCAAGTAACAGAATCCAGATTAATCTAACCCAAGCCTCATAACGAGACGTAGTTTATATAGAACATTGTATTTGTCTTGTAAAAGAGATTACTACTTAGTGATTAAGTTTATGTATTCCTTGGCCCATTGCCAATATAATAAAGTAATCTAAAATTTTCAATTTCATCCATTTTTGTTTCTTGAATTTCAGTTCCACGCCTATAAGCACTACCGTAGCTTACTTAGATAATTGACAGTTTCACTACATATTACTTTACATTTTAATGATCATTCTATAACACAAACACAGCCATCTTCGAGGGTAGTGCACTATAGGTGCACAAGCCTTAATGGCAGCTGGGCTTAATAGGGACGTCAGTAATATCTTCGCATTTACACATTCTAACACATCACTGCATTTCATCTACACCAATGATCCTAAAACCATTTTACATCATAATTATCAAAACATAAGCTGATTTATATGTTATGTTTTATAATATAATATGAAATAATTTTTTTTATAACTTATTTTTATAATTAGTCTAATAAGCTAATACTAGGTTCCCCTAAAGGAAAAAAAAAAACTCTCCATGAATAATTCATTACATCTTGTTTTTAATGCTCTACTAATTTTAATATATTTTTCATAGCTATTCTCATGCAAAACACCACTTTTTAAATTAAACTGCAATAGCTTAATATCAATACTATCAGCTTCTGACCTTGTCACACAGAAAAAAATATTAATTTATATTTAAGGCAACATTTTCCTATTAAAATAATAATGTTGTCAATATTTGTTAATATTACTGTATACCACGAGTACCCAATGCCAGAATAGAGAGTGCGTGAAAAATATATATTTTACAATCCTTCCTATCAAATGATAACATCATAACATTATATTTTAGCAAAACTAGTTGAAAATAATTTTCATAATTAATACTATCAATCTTAATCTTCGTTGTAGATTCCATCCGTCGCTCTTCAACCGATCATCGCAATGCAGTTGCTAATAGTGAAGCACCCCCGGAGTATAATCTCTGTGTAAAAATTGAAACTGAACTGAATTCTGAGAAAGAAGCAAAATTGTTATCGAAAAATAATGAGAATAATGTGATTAATCTTCAACATGTTCCTGAAACCATAGAAACAGAAACCATAGAAACAGAAACAGTGCATAATTCAAACACAACAGGAACAACGCTTGATCAGGAAACCGACATTCAAAACAATGAAAACAGGACTGAAATTGAGGGAAATCATTCCACAAGTATTCACGATGAAGAACCGCCATCCAGTCCTCCGCCAGATTACAATCATGTTCAAAGGAACTCTTCAAACAGGAGAAACAATGACAAACAGCAACCGGAAGTGGTAGAAACAGTGAAATGATAAAAATAATGAGAAGTTGATGGATACCAGGAAAACACATAATGCAATTGGATTTAATGTCAACTGAGCTGCGCCTTATTTTTGCATGTATAAAAATACTATGCCATCGCAAGATTTTTTACAAATCAAAACTGAAAACATATTTATATCAAACTGAGATATTATTTAAATTGTAATCAGTGATAATGTGCTAAACTTTAATTGTTAGGTATTTAATTTATCAATTTGATGGGTGCTCATATGTACTGTATTTATTATTACTCTACTAATTATTTACTGGTTTCGATTTATTTAATATCACAAACAAAAGTAAAAACAAACAACAAAACCAAGATGATCAAAAGTTACAATATTTGGGATGACCCTCTAAATGCTAACACAGGAATTATTGCCAGAGGGTCCCAATATACCTATATCAATATGTAGCAAAGCCAAGCCAAACCAGTCACTAGTTGCAAATCGTGTTTCAGAGAAAATGGCCAAAACATGCTGGAAATTCAATTTTTTTAAAATCTATTTATTGTACTAAACTAACCTTTATATATCTTTACATTATGCTATGCTGTTATTTTCCTCATTTTCAATGTTAATACAACACTTTTTAAGGATTTGATGATAGTTTCTGCATGAGAAATTCCCAAAATTATAAACTTTGAAGGCTGGTTTCTCATATGTGGCAAAGACAAGCCAAACCAGTCACTCGTCGCAAATCGTGTTACAGAGAAAATGGCCAAAACATGCTGGAATGTCAAATTTAAAAAAATCTATTTTATTGCACTAAACTAAACTTGATATATCTATACATCATTCTATGCTGTTATTTTTCCCATTTTCAATGTTAAAACAACAATTTTTAAGGATTTAAAGATAGTTTCTGCATGAGAAATGCCTGAAATCATAAACTTTAAAGGCTGATTTCTCAAATATTGTTCTTTAAACAGCTGTGTGATTAAACGCTTGTAACTTCATAAGGAAATGTCTGATTTGAATGATTTTTTTACCATTTTATAGCTATTATTTTACTCTCTAACACTGTATTAATAACTCAAAATCGATTTTTGAGGCAACTGACTGGTTTGGCTTGTCTTTACCACATATGCCATGTGCATTCCCAACGAACTGGAAAGCTCATATTTATTATTACTATCAATTATTATTAGTATATTTTTGCGACGAGTGACTGTTTTGGCTTGTCTTTGCCACATATATTGTTCTTTAAACAGCTGTATGTTTACACGCTTGTAACTTCATAAGGAAATGTCAGATTTGAATGACTTTTTTACCATTTTATAGTTCTTGTTTTTACACTTTAACCCTGTAATAATAACTCAAAATCGATTTTTGAGGCAACTGACTGGTTTGGCTTGTCTTTACCACATATGCCATGTGCATTCCCAACGAACTGGAAAGCTCATATTTATTATTACTATCAATTATTATTAGTATTAATTTTTGAATTATTCAACATATTTATCTAAGTGTAAGTTGTTTATTGTAACTTAATTACTTTTTTCTTCTAATTATTATTATTAAATTATTAAATTTATATTATCATTAAAATTTACAATTCTGGAATAGTTTGCAAATACACGAGGTCAAGTGTGTGTGAGCACATAATGTATATTTTGAGGTTATAATATTTTTATGTAACATTTGTATATCTTTTTGTACACTGGAATACACTAAATTTTAATTTCTTATACTGTATTAGAATACGGTCTCAGACGCAGCTTGTTGTAAGCACATTTTAAGTGCTGCAAGCCTATAACAGGAAATAATTGATTTTCCTACGTTATTAGCAACACCATGCATTACTACCATTCCCATGTTGCACCTGGTATAACTTTTTTATCCTATGAAAAATAATAATGGTGATTTTTAAATTAATGTATGTACCTGAGCATGAATATTAAAATCAATATATAATGTTCGAGCTGGGTTCACTGTACTTGCATAAGAACATAATTATAACCAGTTAATGAATTATTCAAAAAATATCAAGAATATTGGAAAGATCATTTTGTCGATGATGCTATTTTAAAGTTTAAAAAATGTTATTATTATATTACGGAATAGACAAATGTGATAACACATTCTGCTACGGTCGTTACCTAAATACCCAGGCCACCACACTCAAGGGAACCATCTCCTTCATCCTCCAAGAAATTCTTCAGAATTCCATAATGATAACTACCGATACTGTAATTGGATTTTAAAAAGAACATTATCTCTCACCTAAGATACTTTTTTGCTTTAAGTGTACACATGAGAGAGAGTCTAATATTAACTTCTTCTCAGGGTTTTGGTCCAGTAACAGATGATCTCTAGCATAATTTTGTAATCTTATTGGTGAGTTTGTTAGTTTTGCTATAGCATCTTCATGACAAAAATGGTGGATTACGTTGGTATAGGCTGTTGAAAAATTGAGATCTTATCCTTGACATGGAATAAATCTTTGTTATGAGAGAGATGGTAATGAGAGGACATTAAACTGAAAATATGATAATTCTACCCAATAAATATAAAGAGCACACAAGGATAATGACATTTACATCAAGCATGCATGCACTTCAGAATATTAAGGTTGATATATCTGTTGTTAAAAAGGTGAAGTTATTATAAGACTAGATCAACAGTTATATCCACGGGAAATTAAATTGAATGTCAAATTTTAAATAAATTAAAGTAATGTATGTGCAATCAACAACATTCACACTCCCACACACACCCACCCTCCACATTACCTCCTAAAAAAGCAAACATGTTTTAGGTGTTTATGCTCATTTTAGGTGTTGAACTTCTGTACATTGACATTATATCAAATGAGAAAATGATTCATGGAAATGTTTTTCAGGTAATTTTGATGTTAATAAGATACATTTAAATACAATTTAATGATTGTTTTGTAAACTAAATCCTATGGTAATGAACCTATGGTACCCAATATATTTTCTTATTTTTTGAAAGCTTTACCAAATAGATATTGATGTTAAATATTTTCAAAAACTATAATTTTAAGAGCAAGATGTAATGGCATGCTTTTGCCAATATTTGGTGTAAAACAAAAGAATTCGAACAGCTTTACTAACAAATTGAATATTTCTTAAATTTGTTGCACATTTTTTATATATGTGAATAAGACTATTTATAAATAAAAAAACCACTTAAAACAGTTTAATTTTGAAATAAATATGAGAGTGAATCATTTTTGTTGTAATATTTAATTTTTAGTTCTTATATAAACCTTGAATTTGAATTTAGGTACTGTACTGGTATATCATCATCTGGTACCAATTCCTCAGTAGCGGATCTTGGAATTTAAAAAAAGAGAGGGCCTGGGGCAGTTGACAGAAGGAAGGTCTACAGTAGACCACCTCAGACCCAAAATGGATGGGACGGAGGTGCAAATATTTATGAGTATGGCACCTCTAGATGGCCTGAAATAAATTAATTTTTTATTTTTCTTAATTTTTTATCTCTGGCTGCTACTGTATTATGCACTGGCAGCTTCCCTATGCTTTTCATGAAGGCCTTCCTCAGCTTTTGTCTCCCTCAGTGTATCCTGTTTAGTGTTTCTACATAGGTTTCCTGTTGTCAAAGAAATTCTAGTAGGCTCTTCCTTATTTTGGCCACAAACTGTAATACAGTACAGTAGTTCCTACCCTTAAGTACCTTGCACAGTCGTATTACATGATTGAGTATTAAATACTGAAATAAACAAGTAAAATCGAAATAGATAACTTCCTGAAAAGCTGAGTGTTGACATGACCAGGAAAGAGTGGCAAGGGAGTGTCCAATAAAGAATTAGTGTCCAAATTTCAGTATTCCTCAGGCAAAGTGACACAATTTTTAGAGGAAATGGTGGCTTATTGGTAACATAGCTACATCCATAACATCCAAACTTCAGGGTACAGTTAAATAAGAAAAACAGTATAATAACTAAGTAATCACTAATAATAAAATGAAATTGAACATAATGTGTATGATGTTCCTGCATTTGATCTCATTCTTTAATTTCGAATGTTGTATCTGCAATCCATAGAATAAATATTTTGCAAAATACTCCCAAGATAATTCAACAAATTAGGTAGCTGTCGTGGCAATTATTGAAGGCTTGTGGCAGTTCCAGCGACGCACCTGGCTATTAAATGCAAATTCAACGCACACGTCCGCCATTAAAACCCGAAATTAATTCGCACAATAATGGTTAGAATCATTTGATTTGATCGACCTTTTCGACGACGAGGACATTACTTTACGAGATAAATTCATAGTCTGTAACAAATGCCTATGGGGAGCTGCAGTTGAATCAATTAACAATCAAAATGCTAATTAAGTTAAGGAATAGCTTTTATTTCCAATTTCCTTTTGGCTGTTACATCTGTTGCCAACAGTTTTTTCACATTTTATCCTTCGGCAATTGATTATGTTGAAAATCTGTGACAGATAATTTCAAAGTAATGGATATGAGTTTCACCATCTTGACTGATTGATGTCTATACTGGAAATAATCTTCTTTTTTTTCTTTTAAATGTTTAAATTGCATTTATTGTATCCTCTCTGCTTGGTGTGAAGTAATTATAATTCAATTTAATATTGTTATTGCTGTGAAACTCCATCAAAGACCAATAATATAGCATTACCTCTAAAATGTCATTACAATTTATTTGAAAATATTACAAAATGAGAATTATAGCAAGAGCTATGACAACGACTAATACTAACGATTCTACAATATATTAGGTTACAAACACTGGTTTGCTCAAACTTGAACATTAATTACCAATTTGGTAACAGAATTACAGTATGATACCCAAATATCAGCCAACTTCTAAGAAAAATCTATCCCAAATTGAGTTCTAGGAACCATTAACTCAAATACACAGAATAATAATTCAATATTCCCCCTTCCCTATGCCTTTAATTTAAAAATCCTAGATGTTTCCCATCCAGAAGCTATAGAATATAATGTAACTAGTTTGGTCTGATCAATGAGAATTGGGCAGAATCAATCCTGCATTCTCATGACAAAAACAAATAAAAAATTCTAGCTGTTAGCTTATGTTAAGTAGGCTTTAAAAGTACAATGAGGCTTGAACAAATACTCAATGTAAGCTGATGGTAAGAGTACGATGAGTGTCTTTGAGTACAATTTATCTTGATATCTTTACTACGCTGGTTTAGAGGAGTCACCATTTATAGTACAACATTTATATTGTTCTATGTTAAAATCCTGTGAATATCTGTTTATTATCACACAATGTACAGTATTCTAATAGAACAAGTATTCTGCTAGGCAGAACACTACAAGATGGATCATTATATCAAGAAGCATCCTCGAAAAGAAATGTTTTCATTAATATCAAAAGGTGTTCTCGTACATATCAAAAGAAATGAGTATTATTCATCCCTCGATTTGCTCAATTCCGGAGTAGGCCTAACATCAAGAAAAACATTATTAAGGTAAATGCAAATAATGGTTCTTTTTTAGCAGCCTGAAGTTATTATGACTACCATCATGAATGTCAATTTGCAGTAGTCAGAACTAAGCATCAATATCTCATTAGTAGTCTACGATGTTGAAATAACTTAGAAGACTACTGAGTAGCAGCGGTGATGTATATTCTAAACATCATTCATCATATTCAAGATGGTGTTTCTTTACTACATCAATAACGCTGAATTATTGACCATACCTTTTCAATTTTCACCTTGTCTATCTAACCGTTTTCCAATCTTACATTTCTACTATTGAATATATAATAATATCATGTAATAATTCCAGTTAGGTTTTTCAACAGCGTAGTAAGGTAAATTTGAGTTAATCATGCTTGATGTCTGACCTGGGCCATTGGATGCATATATTTATATAGCTGACCTTCAACTTAAAAAAAATTGATCAAAAACAGATAATAATCTCTCACCACCCATATCTGTTGTCTTGTCTTTATCACTTTAAAGGCAGTTACATAAATATAGTTGTTAAGAAGATGAACCGTAAGTTAATAAAATTCATTTTAGAGGACTTCAGATTAATTGACAGATGAAAACATCTTTGACAAAAATTAGTTTATTTAAATTACCTGTTATCAGAATTGAATAACTAATTTTTATAATTATTCTGAAATTTTGAGAAACACAACTTATTTCTGGATTCCACACCATCTACATAAAAACTAGTATTTTAAAGTGTTTTTTCATACAAATTATGAATACAAACATATGATTGTCACCAAATTTATTGTTAGCAAATCTATTCATATGGTTATAATGATTATCATGTTGCGTGTATATGAATAATGTCAAGCTAAAAATTAGATAATATAGAGGGCAGCAAAACCCTTAGACTATTTTAAAAAGATATTGTCTTGCAATGCACATTAGCACATGCTCAGGAGGAGCTCTTTGTATTGGTCTCTGTACTTATTATTATCAATCTGGCCCATCACTAGATTTTATTTCAAACTTCTTTGGGCAACTGCTTTCTTACTTTATTATTCTTTAATTTATTTAAGGAGACCTTATTAATTTTTGTTAAATTTAAAGGAAGAAAATAAATGTTCCAATGAATTTTAATTTGACTTTTCTGCTTGAGAAAAACATCATATGGTTACATACTATAGATATTGGAAATGCCTGCTTGACTCAACTTACATCACAGCTTGGTTAATTTAGCCAAGGAGAACGTAGCTTTCAAACTGACATGGAACATGCTTTAGTTAGGCCAAAAAAAGTCTTACAAACATTACCAGGGCTTTAGCAAATCAACTGAATAAATGTAAGGACGATATTTTAAAACGAAACTGGATGTAGGGCCTAGTAGGCCCACTTTACTTAAGATGCTTAAGACATTGCATACATTTAGGCATTTCTTTTTATCTTCTTGACCTAATACTATCCTTCTATTATGCATTTTCCTTTGTATATGACGTCAGACTAGGGCATAGGCTTAGCTTAATAAGCCCTGGCCTACCTAACTATACTATAGTTTACCGGGTCAGTAGTTAGTTTACCCATGGTTTAACATAGTAAAATAGTGACTAGCGTAGAATTCGATCCAACACGGCCACAAGTCAACTCGGCCACAAGTTAACTCGGCCACAAGTCAACTCGGCCACAAGTCAACTCGGCCACAAGTCAACTCGGCCACAAAAAGTTTGGCTACAGTCAACTCGGCCACAAGTCAACTCGGCCACAAGTCATCTCGGCCACAAATCAACTCAGCCACAAATCAACTCGGCCAAAAGTCAACTCGGCCACAAGTCATTTGCAACACGGTAGTCTGCTGGTGGCATACCTTTACCAACTGCCAATTTTAAACAATATTTAAACATACGAGAGAAGAAGATGTGTATAAGAGACAGTATATATATATACCGGTAGTACATATATTTATAGTACCATATAAATAATAAATAATTTTCGATTTTTTATTATTATTATTCATATTATTATTATTATTATTTATTAGTCTTAGTATTATAATTTTAATAATAGTAATTTAAAAAGTTGTTGTTATTGGCATTTTATTAGTATTTTTCTCTTATTATTATTATTATTATTATTATTATTATTGTTGTTGTCACCTTTATTATCGATATTATTACCCTATTATTACTAAGTAGGCCTAGAATTATAAGTATCATTATTAATATTATTACTAATTAGTATTACTATTATTATAAAAATAAACATTATCTTTAATTTATTATTGTATTTTGCTATTATCACCTTCAATATCGTTATTATCACTAATTAGTTATTAAAATTGATATTTAAATATCGTTATTATTACCATACTAGTATTATTACTATTTGTTAAAATAAATATTACTATTAATGTTGTTGTTGTTATTATCACATTTATTATCGTCATAATGACTAATTAGTATTATCAATGTAAATATTACTAATTTATTGTCGTTATTGTTGTTTAATATTATTGTTGAAGTAGAATGTTGTGAGTAAACAGAAGACAAACACATTAATAAATAACTCTTTTTAATTCATAGGCAATAGCATTCAAATCTCTTTTGGTAGTGTGGTGGTCCTGTTTTACTAAAACATACTGTTTACTTTATTTCAATCATATATTGAAGAAAAAGGATGCAAAATCTTAGATTTACATTAAATAACTTGTGGCCGAGTTGACTTGTGGCCGAGTTGATTTGTGGCCGAGTTGACTTGTGGCCGAGTTGACTTGTGGCCGAGTTGACTTGTGGCCGAGTTGGCAGAAGCCAAAATGTTTGTGGCCGAGTTGATTTGTGGCCGAGTTGACTTGGGTAATAGGGTGCAGGTCAACTCGGCCACAAGTCAACTCGGCCACAGTCAACTCGGCCACAAGTCAACGAATTCGATCCAACTCGATCCTATCTAAGAAGTTACTACTACTACTACTAGACCCTGGCCTAGGGCCTAGCCTAGGCCCTAGGCAAATTCTAAGCAGGACTCGAGAAGGAGGGGAGGCCTTACTTAGCCTAAATATTATTTAATAATTTGCATGTATTAAGTCATTACGGTACTCTTGCTAAACCTGCACTTACGTTCTGATGTTTAATGAAATAATGGTCACTGCCAGCAGTAAAACATTTCTATAAAAACAGGCAAAACTAATTTTTTATTCTTCCTTCGCAGACAACTATGGTTGTTTTTTAATCGAGCGCCACCACCATCCGGATTTTAGAACAGTTTATAATGTCATAGGGTGACATAATTGTTACTTTATATTTACATAGTTTTTTACAAAGATAAACAACTAATTAGTATTATTTAAATATCATCCTCCAATTATCAAATTCAATGTCTTTTCTCTAGAAGATAAAGCTCAACATTTAATCAATTCTGTCTATATATAAAACATATCGTTCTTTCACCCCTATTTGTTTTAATGCGATTTCAGCGAGGTCATCAGCAGTAAAAGGGTCAAGAATGAGGAATTCCCCTTTTGTAATCCCACACAGGGTTGGAGCTGTAGCGGTACTGATCTTCATACTTGGAGCTATTTCTTCGGTCTTAATAAACAAATCATCATTTGGTATTTTCGTATTTTTCCAAACTAAACCCTTAAATATGGGACGTGTCGACTCTTCGTCATTATCTTCGCCTGATAAGATCATAACCACTAACATAAAGCTGACATGGGATGTCGACTTCACAGAGAAGAGCATCAAGGGCAGTGCTATTCTGGACGTTAAGACCCTGGAGGATTCGGTTACACATTTGGTATGTTACTTTTGCAACCGTTAAAATGCAATTATGAAATATATACTGTATTTTGCATATATCTACTAGTACTTAGAACATTTGTAGACTTTAAAATTGTTTGCTGTGAAGATTGATCCTTGTGAATATGACTAGGCCAGGCAGGGAGGGAGGTCTACATATTTTTGGCGGAGAGGGATGGGGCTTGGCTGGCTGCTATATTTGTGGACTTAAGTAACCTAATTCTGTAATTGAAAGGTTCAAGATTATAACTGCTAATTTGCTAGCTTTACTTTTTGAGCTAGTGTGATAACTAAATAGAACATAGCAAAATGCTAATGTTTTACTGGTACAGCATTTTCATGATGATATTAATTAATGAGGTTGAACACTAACCCTAACCTTGAGAGATGCAAATACTGGTATATTCACTTTGTACTTGGACTACATTATTCTACATCTAGGCCATACTGGATTATGTAAAGTAGTCAGGACCTAACAATACCGAGTCTTGTCTCTGATTGGTTGATTGAATTTAGGCAAGAAACCTTCCGGTTAAGGGATCTCCTATCAAAATTCACACAAGGAAATAATATTTTTTATAATTGTGATGACCTTGGTATATTGTGGATGAACACTATTATGTGACCTCTTTGAAAGGTATTCAAGAACACGCATGCGTAGCGTGGGGTAGAAAACACTTGGAGAATCATCGCCATGATATTTATCGAACCTTGATTTTACTTTATTAGTCCCATTCGTAGGATATATGAAAACTGTTCAATTTCAAAACAAAGTTCAGAAAATTACAACTATTTTATAGTAAATTTAAATTTAATGTTTTAAACATAAGAATGAAAAGAACTCCAATATATGCATCTTGTTACCATGACAGGACTTTAACCCAGGACCCTTTTATTAATAGGCAAGCAGCTTAGCCACCAAGCTATTCAACTCCACTCCACTAGGATCTGTAAAATAACTATCTGAATGGATAAATAACATCTACACAATTCTTTAATTTTATTTCCAGGTTCTCGACACACGTTCCTTAACAATCCATTCAGTCACAGATTTCAAGACTGGCCAGAAGTTAGACTTCAATCTTAAGGAAGAGGTTAAACCGTATGGATGGCCACTGGAGATAAAATTACCTACAAGTGCTCAACAAAAGTAAGAGGGAATGGAAGAAGTGCATTTTTTTTAGGCATTATTAAAAGAAAAAACAAGCAAGCAATGAAAAATGTTAAAAGTTATTAAGATTTTGTTTTAATACCAAGACTGTATTCTACAAGCTGAAATTTTTTAAACATGCAATTATTTTTTTTTCTTAAAAAATTAGAGGTAGCACTGCAAAAATTTCCGTTGAATATGCAACGTCACCAAATGCTTCAGCTTTGGCATGGATGGAACCTGAGCAGACATCTGGCAGGAAGCACCCATATCTTTACAGCCAGTGTCAGGTGAGATTGTGTACTTCACAATAAAGCTTTGAATACTCTGGAATATTTAACTACTGTAGTTCCCCCAGGGTATACACCTGCCGCCTGGGTATAAGCCCCCCCCCCCACCACTTTACATCCTAATTCACTTACCAGTGTTTCCTCGGGCATAAGCCCAGGGTATGATGTGAATTAAAAGCTTAGCTGACTTTAAATGCTTGCATTGAAAATTTGAGTATAAGCCTACTTCCTAAACACCACCCACTTTCATGTTTATGGGTGGTGGTGGGCTGTGGTACATGCTTCCAATCTCTTGTACACTTTGTCATTTCCAGCAGTTTATTTTAACATTTTTCACATCCTCTGCTAGTATGTTAACATTAGCAGTTGATTAGACCTTGGTAAAAAAATATTTTTGTAAGAAAAGTAGCATGACATCTGTTCCAAATTTTCACATTGTAATTGATTTTTCTTTACCAAGGCTATACATGCAAGAAGCATTGTTCCATGTCAGGATACCCCGGCAATCAAAATCACGTACCAGGCTGATGTAAGTTATGTAGACTTTGAATATTTTTGATAATGACCTACTTAAGATACAATTATATATTCAGATTCTTTTTCAGTAGAAGTAACGGGTGTACTACCTTGCAGGTTAGACTTCATTCGATCTTGCACAGTGGTGGCAGTTCTGCTCTTCATCTTTTCCTCACCTCCCCTTTGTACCACCAGAGATTTTACCATGTCTTCCTGGACTACATGTTGTAGGTTATAAAAAGCTATAGTGTAATATCCTTTGGCTTACTTAAAACAGGGCCACCGGTGAGCTCACCGGTAGCCTTGTACTAAATAGAAAGAGACATCGGTCAAGTCTAGAAAGTTACGTTGTACCTCTAATGAACTCTTTAATATTTTTTTAATAGGTAACGGTTCCGCATAAGTTGACTGCTTTGATGAGTGCCACTCGACTGGAGAATCAACTTTCATCTAGAGATGGTGCCAAGAGAATCTTCAAATTCCACCAGACTGTGCCCATTCCCAGCTACCTATTCGCTATTGTCGTGGGGGCGCTAGAAAGCAGGTTAGTTTCATTTCTCTAATTCAATTAAAACTTCTTTCTGGAAATAAAATGTTGCTAACACAGGGTAGTTGCTTCCAAGAATTTAGCTTTAATTTCTTTTTATTTACTTTTTTGTAATTAGGAAGATTGGCCCTCGTACATCTATATGGTCCGAAGCTGATATTGTAGATATTGCTGCAGCTGAATTTGAAGATGTATGTGTGTTTATTTATAGTAATACTGTAGTAATAGTTTTAAAATTATTGTAAGCGTTCAAGAGGTTTATTTACGTGCAATGATCACCCTGATATTATCGAAGGTTTTTTAATATCTGAATTGTTATTCTTTGTCTCAAGAGTCTTTAAATATGTACTGCCAATGCCATCTGAAAAATGACTAAGGAATCATGAATATCAACTTGAATCATATAAAGTATTATTCAATAAATTAAAAAGTATACTTAATTATCATTGATATTATTAATTGGTAATTCTTTATCCTTGGAATGCAGACAGAGAAGATGTTGGTTGCTGCTGAGTCAATAGCAGGTCCATACAACTGGGATCAATACGACCTTCTGGTGCTTCCACCATCGTTCCCATTTGGAGGAATGGAGAACCCGTGTCTCACATTCGTCACACCCACGCTTCTGGCTGGTGACAAGTCACTTGCCAATGTGATTGCCCACGAGATAGCGCATAGCTGGACGGGAAACCTGGTTACAAACCTCAATTGGAATCACTTTTGGTTGAATGAGGGCCACACTGTGTTTTTGGAGCGCAAAATAATTGCTAAGCTCAATGACGAGCAGACCAGGCACTTCCATGCCATTGGTAATTAACTTCTTAACTTCAAAATCTTGTATTGAAATTTAACTTCATTTTGTTTAACTGTTCTTTTATACTAGCTTTGGTAGCCTCAATCACTTAAATGTCAATGCCTTGATATTAAGCACCATCTTCTTTGCCTCAGTATTTTGGAACACCAGATCTTAAGACTGACCTATGTTTATATGAGGTGGCTTGCCCAAAACATGTACTTTTTAATATTTTCTTTTTCTCCACATTGTAAGCTTTAAAATGATGGCCCCAGTAAAGGACTTGTGAATAAAAGTATTACAGCTTCTCTGTACTAAAGTATACAATACCGCCACATTCTTATGCTAATTAATCGGTTTAACAATTAGTCAGTACGCTGGTTTTGGGATAGCAAACCTCATATATGAATATTGAAGCTAAGCAAGTCCAGAAATGGTTATCAAGCTGTTAAGTTATACATTTTAACTTACAGTATTATAATTTCATTTATTTTTCTGCATTTATTCAGGTGGCTGGAAGGACCTTATCAACAGTGTAAGTAGTATTTTATTATTATTGATATTATTACAGTACTGTAAATGGTAAAAAAGTACACAGGGCTAAGGATGATGTCAATACCTCTATAGAAACACAAGGAAAGCAACAAGGTTTATTAACTAAGCTACAGTATGCTATTGTCAATTGAATTTGTTTTTTCTTTTCTTTTGTCATCATCTTTTCTCATATTCGATTCACAGGTGAAAGAATATGGTGAAGAACATGAATTTACAAAGCTAATTCCCTTTCTTGAGGGCAGTGATCCTGATGATTCTTTTTCCAGTGTTCCGTATGAGAAAGGGCACACGTTCTTGTTTTACCTCGAGACTCTTGTTGGCGGGCCAGGTAATTTTTCATTCTAATTAATTAATTAATAATTCTAATTTCATACCAGCTAGGCCTCTAAAGCGCTTCACATTATTACCCCCAGTCATTGAATCAAACATAATAGTCTTGCTATTCAAGTCAAGAACAGTTCACAGCGAGTCCAGACAAATTGTCTTCCCCCAACCCCCACTACTGGCACCGCTGCTGATTAGGCCTAGGATACATCCTGGAGAGTGGGTATGTTTAATCCACTAATGTCCTAGTATTTTGTGTACATCTAACACAACTCCATAAATAGTAACAAGAGCCTAAATTTGTTAAATATGTTATATTTCAGAGGCTATGGATGGATTCTTGAAGCATTACATAGCAACTTTTGCCCTCAAGAGCATCGACACAGATCAGTGGAAAGAGTGCTTTCTGGACTATTTCCAAAAAAAGGTTAGGCCTAGTATTATTTTGATAAAGTAACCAGTGACATATTAGAAGAAGCTACAATAGTTATGATTTCAGGTCTCCTGTAATATGTTTGGAAGTTAATGGATATTTTTTGTTTTCAGGTGCCCAGCGATGCATTCGATGGTGTTGATTGGGATACTTGGTTCTTCAAACCTGGTATGCCACCAGTTAAACCTGAGTAAGTACTCATCTCAACTGTGCATTCTAACCTGATTGTATTAGCAAGGGGGATTCAAGGGTCCCGGCCAGCTTGGACTACTAAATTTTTGAACATTTAAAAACAAAAGGGGAAAACAATCTGGGTGTTATTTATTCATCAGCTGCAACCTTGTGTTCCTGAGGTTGTCTGGACCCTCCACCTGTAACCCCCCTCCCTTGGTGCCCTTCTTTCTATATTTTTAGATCCACTAATGATTGGTATGTGTTATGTATATGGTTTAATGATCATGCAGTATGAATGTTAGCAGCTTCTGGGTGTGTTGTGAAAGATCATCATGACATCTCATTTTTTACCATTGTCTCTTTTAGCTACGACACAACTTTGGCAGATGCTTGCACTGAATTGTGTGAACTTTGGGACCAGGTAATTAATAAAACAGCAAATAGAAGGAAAAATCTGTTTATTATAAAGCGGTGGAGTCAAAGCATGGTGGTCAAGATGCTTGCTCTCAGAGGGGTCCTGGCAGTGGCGTATCTAGGGTGGTACACAGGGGGGGGCCGCATGCCCCTTCAAAAATTATAAGTTCCCCCCCCCCCCCAAAAAAAGCCACTTGCAGGTACAGTAGTTAAAAATCACCTTATTTTGCGAGTTGGTTCCCCTTAACTAATCATCGATCCCCCACTTCACCCCCAAGTCTCCCGGATTGCCATGGTTCATCTCCCGTTTTCCTGGAAATTCCACATTTTCTCCCATATTTCTCCAGGATTTTAAGAGTTTCACAATTAGGGCTTATGCCAAGCTAAATTTTCCCATTCTTATGCATTAAATAAGATTTATTGAACATTCTAGGCAGCAACATGGTATTAACAGTGAATTAAACCTGTCCAAGCCTGTTAGTTTTTATATTGAATGTCGCCAACTTCTACCTGTCCTGCATGACTTTCACAACCCCTGAAGTTTGTTTTGCTGAAGGGATTGTTACTGGCTGGCATATTTTTGGAATATTAAATAGAAACAGTGGTAACGACGGATTATCACAGTACAGTATACAGAAACATGTGCAACATTTCCTTGCTTCACTTAGGCTTCTGAGGACGATCTCGGTGGCTTCAGCAAGACAGACATTGAGGACTTCTCAGCACTACAGATAAAGGAATTCCTAGGACAACTTCTGCAGAAGGTTGGTCGATTGTTTTGTTCAGAAATGATATTATGTTAAATATTTTATTACCAATGTTGTTCTGCTGCTCCATTCAGGATAACTTGTTCATCATAGGTTGCTGTGGGTCTCCTTTTATTTCCTTGTAGCAAGTCCATCTAGGATAATGTATTCTTTTCCCTGTACTGTATGATGTTCATCCAAGATGACACAACCCAATTTTATTTATATAGCACCTTTCCTAACGAGTCCTGCCAATACACTAGTAAAAAAATTAATCTTGATTGCTGGTATTTGTTGACCAGTGGCTGGCCCTGTGTGCATTAGAAGATGTCATTATTATTATTTAACTAAAACTTGATTACTGTTTTCATTATCAGGATCCCCTGCCAATTTCTCACATACTAGCTATGGATAATGCTTATCAGCTAAGTGCCTCTCACAACTCAGAGATTAAATTCAAGTAAGAAATATTTCGAATATTAAAAAATCTGCATCTCATTCACCGTTCCCCAGTTTTTCGTCCGACAACTTTTTTCTGTCTTAGAAAAATCAGTGGTACAACATTTAAACAATTTTTCCTCACGAGCCTGACAATTGTACATTATGATAGTCTAGTTATAAAGCTTTGGGCTTTAAAATGAGACCCATGGGGTGAATTCCGTTCATTCCCCCCCCCCCCCAAATATTGGAATACATCTTTTGCAACTTTCTGTCCAGATATTTAGTATGAAGGGTTCAAAAAATGAGATTTCCATCCTCATTTCCAGGTGGTTGGAACTGCAAATCAAGTCTGAACATGAACCTGTAATACAGCCTGCTCTAGACTTTGTCAACATCCAAGGACGAATGAAATTTGTGCGTCCAATTTACAGGTTAGTGGACATTTAATTATTTTAAAGCCAACAGCGAAAAAACGCCCACTTACAGGATGGACATAATCTATAATATAAACTCAAAAAATACAGAATTTCAGGCAAACCAATTTCTCATTTAATTTTCCAATCAGTAAAGTTTAGTAAGGTTGGCTTCTTCCAAGAACTTTCCCAATTCTCTAGGCCAGTTATGGTGTATTTCTTGTCATTTCGTTTCAGGGAATTGTATGCATATGACAAGGCAAGTGACAAAGCGGTTGCCAATTTCAAAGAGCAGGAAAAGTATATGCATCCGATCACACGTTCCATGGTTGCCAAGGACTTGAACTTGGAGTGATGTCATGGAGAACCGACCGATTTTTTTATATTTTTGTATTACACCTCTCAAAGAGGACTTGAAAATATATAATTTTTTCTTAGTTTGTAAATAGGAGTTGCTCCTAAACAATTTTGTCTTAGTTTTTAAACACTATAAAGCCAACAATATTTTTTTTATTTTTTGTATTGTGACTCGAAAATACTGTTTTCATAGTTTGTAAACAGGAGTTTCTCCTATAAAGCTAACGATATTGTATTGCACCTCATAGAGGACTCAAAGCATATTTTTTTCTTAGTTTGTATTTAATACAAAATACATGAAGCCTTTGCATACTACAAAAACGCTGCATTTTTTCTACCAATTGCAGACTGCTCGCAGATATAGCATACCCCTTCATACCAGAACATTCTTCAACTCTCAACAAAAATCTCCATCATGATTAATTGCATGACAGTACATTGACCAATTGATATATTTTCCTTAAGAGGGATTGATTTGAACAGTATGGTGTGCGGCTTTAGATGAAAATCTCTTATAGGTTTTTAAGAAAGATATTAATTAGTGCCTGATGATCAATAAAATCACTATCATTTTAAATGTTTCATTTCTGATGAAGAGTTCATTGGCATGTCACCTGCATGAATATCAAAAATCAACTATTTTGATTTTGATATGGTCTAGGCGCTATTTACATCAAAAGCAAGGCTATGAAATTTTACCATCCTACATTATTACAGTACATCACAAAACTTTACAACGAAGCAGTTTGGCAAACAAGGAAGGAGGAGGGTGCACAACAGATAGAACAGCCCTCAACTAAATTAAAATTTTCTTCACTTATTTGTGTTTCTATAGATTCTTAGTTTGTATTAATGTTAACTTACACATGCAATTTTTTTGAGTATTCAAGGCAAAAAATAAATTTTGAGAGTTGTCTCCCAATACTAAAAAATTGTGGGAATACATGGACAATACTTCTAGGGACACTGGCTAATTTGTAACTATTTCAAATAGTCATGGCTTAGAGTATACAATCCAAGCTTATACAATATTTTCATCTAATAATGTACTGTAATTTAAGATGGCTTACAAAAAAACTTTGTTCCTACAACTCCTAGAAAAATTTATTACTGAACTAATTCACAAGGAAAATTTTGAAAACTAACATTTCTATTAAACTAGGATTTCAGAATGAGCGTCAGAACGAGTGCCATTTCATTGTCAATGAACATGCAGAGAACTAGCTTACACATTTTTTTACTGTTCCGTATACAGTATTGCTAGTCATAGTATAATAATACAATATCAATTTCTTAACCATACCAATGAGTTGAAGGATAAAAAGTCAGGGGACGGGAAACTACTATCTTCAGCTTATAATCAACACATCAAATATGCTTGGTATCGTTAATTTCTGAATTATCCAAGGAATTAAAAACACAGTCCATCACTGCAAGAAGGATTACACCAAGTCTTGTCATTATAATTTACAATTATGGAGGGAGAAGAAACCGGGCAGTAACTATCCAATATCTATGTCTGTCTATATTACCAATCAAAAACCAACCATGGTTGAAAAAAATGATATGTTTATGCCTAAAATTCAGACCTGCAATAAACAGTAATCTCTGGTTGGTCAATTTGTAAACAGAGAATTTTACTGGATATTTCTATCAGCTTTTTAAAGCTGCTGTACAAATAATCAAAACCGAAATAATCTTCTCTTGTGCCATTTGTTAAATATATTAAGCACCAACAAGGAGTTGACATCCTGTAAAAATCCAACCAGACTGAGTCGAGTGCAACGTTTTTGTTCTTACTGTTCCGTGATTTGATAGCTATCCCCCCCATTGATTGACAGGTCCGTAGTAGCTGTCGGCAGGTCGTATCCTCCCATGTGACCGTCTCCATATTTGTCTGAATTGCCATAGTCTATGTATTCATTGCACTCGGCTGGTGCATCTTTATTCGTTGTGCTTTCATCTTTCAACAGTTCAGGTGCATCATCGTAAGTATCGTTTTCAACGCTATTTACAGCGACCTCTACATTCTCGCTTTCATCATCTTCAACTTCCTGTGAATCTTCCATTTCTATTGTTACCCCCCTCCCAACTCCTCTACCTTTGCCACCTGTGTTACCACCGCGATTTCCTTTGATTTGTCTTGGTCTTCGATCTCCTTGGGGGTATGTCCTTCCACCCCACCGTCCCCTTGCTGAAATCATCTGCATATGTACCTACAGTTTCAAGGAAGAACATAATCAGTCAATGCATTCGTTTAAACATATTCAAAGTAGTACTTTTTTTTCTCAATAAATGAGGCTTAACTGGAAGGCAAGAATTTAACCACTATGGTACAGCCTAACTTATAAAACATTATAATTTGTATTATTTTATAGGATGTATAAAGCGCACATATCAATTTCAGAATTATGAGTCTTGTCATCCCAAAACCTGGGGTACTTTCGCTAATTGTTAAACTCGGTAATTAGCATACGAATGTTGCAGTATCGTATGCTAGTGAGCTTTTGAAATGGGTGACACGGGAAGCTGCGACGGGGAATGCGGTCAACCATGAACATCGTACTATGCACTTCCCGTCTCAACGTCATATGCCTCATATGTTGAAAGCGCTTTTTTAATCTAGTCATCAAATACCGAATCTATAATACACAACATGCAATCACCTCCATGTTTTTGGGATTAATTTTTGTTATGTAATTTATTTTTACCAGTGTTAATAATTTCTTATGTAAAGTACTGTATTTTAATTCGATTTGAACTTTTGTAAAGCGCATCCTGGGCAAAGTACAATCAATGTTTCAATGTCAGTCTGAAATTCACAATCTCTTGATTGAAAGCCTTACTCAGGTTCCACAATGCTTGTTACAATTATCTGATCATCTATGCTCATTGAAGTTTTCAGGAAAGCTAAGCCCTAAACAAACTTACCATTGGGTCTTGAAAAGAAGGTGGTCCATACATTGTCTGAGAGCCTTGGCCATAGAAATAGAAACTTGGATCATGGCTTGGAGACATGCTCCAAGACTGGTGTCCAGCACTGTTGTAAGGCCTACCACCACCACCACCTCCGCTGCCACTACCACTACTGATGAAAGGAAACCGAGGCTTTGTTGGAACAATCGTTATAAAGACATCATTTATAGCAAAATTTGAATACCCTAAAAAGCTAATTAAAATTCTGAATTGCAAATACTCATCAAATATTCCAAGTGACCTACTTTCTTGTTGCTCTCATTCCATCACTACCAGCCCACTCACCAACCACCATTCCGGCAACCTCCAAACGTCCTCCTCGTCCATTCATCGGCCGTGCTGCCGTGTAATAAACAAATATACATCATAAACAATACTAAACTTTGTAGATAACTGACATAAATTAATTAAACAAAGTTTGTTGATAAACACACAACTATTTAGAAAACAAATCGCATACACTGCTACACTACAAAAATTGTCTGTACAGCAGTTAATACCACATTACTCACAATATACTGAGCCCCTTCCCCGCCCCTTATTGCCTGGTCCTTGCGGCACCATTTGCCCAGCTGGTCGGAAGCTCATTCCATAATCCATCGGCGGGTAAGGATACATGTGGTCCATACCCATGTGTGCAGGCAACGTGGGACGGGCACGTGCAAAGTCGTACGCAATTCCTTCCATTATTGCCTGCCTCATTCTCTCTACTTTACCAACTTGGTCCATCTAGAAAAAGTGATTAGTCTAATGTTATAGCAACAAAGTTAAAATTGGTATAATTAATAAAATGAGATTGGTTTATATTTTAAGAGATTAAAAAATGGTATAATTAAAATGCATCTGATAATAAAACATGAAATTTTCCAGCATTTAGTATTCAACAATACTCATTTCTATGTTGTCTGCCAAAAAAATCATAAGCTGACAGCAGGAAACTGGCATATTTTTGGCCTGACATCTATAACATTAATATCAAAAACAAAGATTAAAAACGAAATTAATAGCCATAATAATGACTAAATTACGAACTTACTTTGCCATCACACATATCTCTTAAGTGGCTGCTATTAACGGCTCTGGAGAGTTTGTACTGGAAAAGTTTGCCATCAAAAAATAACCATGGACAACACAATTCCCATGGGATTGGTGATCCACAAGCATCGTTAGCCATCATCGCAGCCTCAATGCCTCGCATAAATATTGCTGCCAGTTGTATGCCACGAGTTGTAATATGAGAAATCTGTTTAAAAAAAAAAAGTTTACCATTAATGTTTTGGTTTTCTGGGTTTATTCAAAATCAGTATGAAATTCTGTATTTTTTTAACATCTTGATAGAATGTTTTTAATTTAAATATCAAAAATAAATATATAAAATCACAGCCAAAGCTGAATTGAACATTATTTCTAAATCTCAAAAATATTCAATCCCTAACATTGTATAGTATTCTTGTAAAAAGACAAAAAATGGATAACCACCAAAAGCCCTTTTCAGACATCAAATTATATTTGACAATGTGGACAGTACATTTCGTCTCTCAGCATCAGAAAACTGAACTGTTACTTTACTCGTTGAAGTTGAGCCAAGTATCAACCAAGGCAGGATATTAAAACCAGATTTCTTTGTACCACCCATGCATGCAATTTATATAGTAGAGAAACAGGGTGGGTGTTTGGAACAATGAATTATTCTAAGCCTTCAAATTAGAGTTTAGTGCAAATGTCGTAGAGTTTATTGTCTTAAAGAAAATTATTTTCCAACATACAAAGGCCCCTGGCTCATATACATCATACATCACATGGTATGCCACTGTGATTTAAAGTGTGGATTTTTTGTTGTTTAAGATACTAAATAAATTCATGATTTTGAATCATGAATTAAGTTTTTTTAAAGATATCATAAGATGCTTAAACTAGAATTAGCATAAAACAAAAGCAGGAATCAATTTTTGGCCACGGTACCTTCATTTCTTGAAGTGCCTTTGGCTGGTTAAGGATCGGTGAGACGCTCTGCGATAGGAATGCGTCAAGTTCATGTTCCCGCAGGATTGGAGGGTTAAAATGCATCATATATCTAAGAGGAAATACAACATGACAACGTCAAATGTAATAACAATAATGTACTTCACCAGAAGGTATACATTAAATAATGTTATTTTCAATTACACTAAATTATATGTAACCTACCATCAAGGTTATTCAAATACATTACATTTAAATCATTGTTCTAAAATACTAATAATTATTAATGAAGCTGTTTCTCTATACCAAGTTCTATATTACACATAATATTACATCTACGGGTGCAAAACTAACACTTGCCTGCTCGCCAATGCGAGTGAAATACAAATTTGGCAAGTGATGTTCCTCCCCACTGACGTGAAAAATCCTACCATAAGAAATAAAAAAAAGTCCTGTTCGAATTGTAACTATTATGAGCATGCATACAACCCACCATACTATACTAGTAATTCTCAAGCGAAGGACGCCCTCTAACAGGCCTCTTCAAATCCAGTGTTTATTATGGCTCCACACAGGTGCAGGCGACAATTTTACATTTCTTTTAATCATCGTCCGAACAAAAGCGTCAACAAGAGCCTTCATGTTGTCTAGGAATAAAATTCTCTGGTATGGTTCACAAGTAGAGTTTTCATGCAATAGTACGTCCCAAATTTTGCATTTTTAGACCACATTATTAGGGGTTGGCAATTTAAGAGCAGTGTCATTTTGGGCCGATGACCAGGTACTGGCATAGGACGATGGGGGTATGGATCTGTCTGTCCGCACCTTGCTGGCACCACTACTGAAGCTCACCATCATCAGTACAATTTTTGGCTAGTGAAAACGTATTAGGCAAGTGTATTTGAAAAGTCACTCGCCACCCTGCATTTATACTATATTATATATTTATTCATTTATTACATAGAAACATAATGACTTACCTGAGCACACAGCATAGAAGAATTGCATGTCGTGGCACAAAGGCAGTTTTTAACATGGAGGGAGAATCACTGGACATGCAAGACAAGAATGCCCGCAAACGGTAGGATTTATCTTCAGTCTCTCGTCCCAGCCACATACGACTGATGGGCGGAGCTACCCACTCGAGGGGTGTGGCTTCTACTGCATCCGGTTGCTGAAGTGTATTCTCTTGGTAGACACACCACTCTTTGATAACAACTCTGGGGAAGTCTTCTGAAAATCAAAATGTCAAATAAATATTACATTTCTGCTTCAGTTTGATGGTATTAGATACCTAATGTCACTTAATATCACATCACTTTCTTGACAGCAGCTAAAAAATATCAATAACAATTTAAGTTTTATCAGGAATACACAAATTAATCGTCTAACAAATATCTATATCTTATCAAGACTCAACTAAGGTATCATGGTTTATGGTTGAAAACACAAAATAATAAGTAATCACAAGCTATCTTACAAGCAAATTATGTTTAGAGATATTAAAAGAAATTCTGTAATGTTGGAAAAAATAATGGTTTTCAAATAAAAAAACATAAACACATAGCGTAAACTAAATTGTTTTGATCCAAGTCTTATTGTAAGCCAACTTCTGTTTTTATCCATTCCAATTATTGCAGTTTTTACAGTTTTTTTTCTTCAGGTTACACAACAGAGAGTATGTTTGATAGCCGATTGAAATCAATTATCTTTACAGAATATATCAGCTACATCATTGCAGTCCAGTGATCAGGGTCATATAATCATACCTCTGTTATTGATTCCATAATACTGTTGAATACTGAATAGAAGTCCGTAGATCTTCTGACGGATTGGACGGAACATCAACGCTGAAGGGGTGAACTCTGGTCCCATCTCATCCTCTAGCGTGTATCCCAAACGAATTTCCCCCTATATAGAAGAGTACAACAAAATTATTCCAAAAACTATTATTTATACAGTACCATGCTGGGAATAATGGCAGAATGGTAGTACGAAGGTTGCTGGTTCAATTCCAGGAATAGTTCACATTTTTCCTTAAAATTGTCAACAGTATGTTTTTATGTAACACACTTCTGAGATTTGCCCGTATATGGGGATGATGAGGTCACATCACACCTATATATGGGGCTTTCCACTTCCTAATATATTCAAACTCCCCACATTATAAGCTCTAAAACGCTAGGTCTTACTGAAATCGACTTGCTATTGTCCAAGTTATTCGTAGTAGTATTACGGCTTCTCTATACTAAAGTAGGCTATACAATACTGCCACATTTCTTTACGCTAATTACTCAGTTCAGTACGCTGGATTTGGGATGGCAAGCCTCACATAGGCATGATTATGTCATATCACACCGAGTATGGGCAAATCTAGTCACATAAAACTTGATAGTATGGAGAACCTAGAAACATATTGAGAGGTAATTTCCTGATGAATGATTGCGGAATACATATGTGGCAAAGACAAGCTAAACCAGTCACTCGTCGCAAATCCTGTTACAGAGAAAATGGCCAAAACATGCTGGAATGTCAAAATTTTGGAAATCTATTTTATTGCACTAAACTAACCTTTATATATCTATACATCATTCTATGCTGTTATTTTTAATGTTAAAACAACACTTTTTAAGGATTTAAAGATAGTTTCTGCATGAGAAATGCCTGAAATCATAAACTT